ACTGAAAAGTCCCAGTCTCTTTAGCTTCTCTTCATATGGGACCTGTTCCAAACCCCTCCTCCCAGGTTTCCCCCTCCCCTCTCCCACCTCCTTTTCTCAGTCTCCCCAGATCCCCTCCCGCCCCCATTTTATTCAATAAAGCCAGTTTCTATTTTTGAACATACGTGTCTTTTATTTGACATCAGGAAGGGGGGCTTAGGGAGGGTAAGTGGAAGGACATGAGGGAGGAATGAGGCATGAGCCCCCGGTGGGGAGGACCGGGATGGCTCTGAGGGCTTCTCAGGGTGGACGCTCTCCCGCAGGGCCTCCTGGATCCTGACAGCCCCCCTGATGGACCACCCGGATGGCAGCCTGCAGCAAGTGCAGCCGGGCTGATGGCAACAACCTAACGAAAGGCACCGGCATGCCCAGAGGCAGCTCTGGCTCCATGTGGCCTCGTGCTGTGGTGTCCCAAGTGCAGGCACTCAGGGCACTCGAAGACAGGACTGCTTTGCTGTCCCTCATCGAGGTAGACAAGCAAGCGGGGAACCCTGAGAACTGTCTGTCCGGGGCGGGGGGGGACGGGGACGAGTAGGGTCCCTTTAAGCACGGAGCTCAGTTAGCCTCAGGCAGAAGCCCCACACACTAAGTCCTAACCTGATGCCCTGCCAGCCTTAACTTTAGTTCAGGGTCCACTCAGCGTGGACACGCTATTTCAAAATAGCAAAAAGCTATTTCAAAATACTTTTTGTGTATACATGCGTTATTTCGAATTAGCTTAATTCGAATTAACTATTTCAAATTAAGTTAACTCAAATTAACGCTGTAGCATAGACATACCCTTAGTGATCAACACAGGTAAGCCAGTTTTGCTCTAGTGTTAATATTAGTTAAATATTCTCAGTAAAGCTCTTCATCCTGTATTAAATCATTATTAAAGATGATGCAAGCATTTTCAATACACCCTATACTTTGATGCTGGTGAAGAACCAACAATGTCACTCCTCTAGCAACAAAATTAAAAATTAATGTTCGTTTTCCCAATATAGTTAATTAGTTGCACTTCTGACCACAAGAACTTTCTGACTGCTGTTCTGAACAAAAGATATAGCAGATATTTTAACAATACTATGACTTGGTCTTTCACTATGACAACATAAAATTCACTTTAAAATAATATCCAAGACACGGTAGTACCCCTAACAAATGTCTTTCAAAGTGTGATGGGGTGTTATCCACCTCACACCAAACGGAGGGAATTGCCTCAGCCAAGCTGGCTGAAAGGGTCCCACCCCCACAGCTCTGTTGAGCATGCTCCCAGTGGAGGCAGAGTATAAAAGACTCCGGAGCAGCCCAGTCTGGGTGGACTGCGGAAGAGGAAGAAGCTCCTGCTAGAGTACGTGGGGGAGGGATAGCTCAGTGGTTTGATCATTGGCTGCTAAACCCAGGGTTGTAAGCTCAATCTTTGAAGGGGCCATTTAGGACTCTGGGGCAAATCTGTCAGGGATGGTACTTGGTCCTGCTGTGAAGGCAGAGGACTGGACTTGATGACCTTTCAAAGTCCCTTCCAGCTCTATGAGATAGGTATATCTCCATATATTACAGCCCTGACACCACCACAGCGGAAACAACCACCACCGTGGCCGCAACAACCAAGGTAAAAGAGATGACCCAAGGAGACAACACCAGCAAGACGTGATGGGGAAGAACCACCAACCTGTAATGGTAGGAAGTAGCCCAAGGCAGGGAATTGATCTCTGGGTACTTAGCAGGCAGTGGATTGTGCCACTGCCAACAGGGCCCTGGGCAGGGATCCAGTGGAGCAGGAGGCCCCGGGTTCCCGTAGCTGACCCACGTGGGGTAAGTCTTTCTGCATGCCTGTGGACTAGGCCTCTGGGCCATATTTTTCCTCACAGAGGGGATCTGCTTATGAACTAGGCCTCTAAGCAATATTATTTCTAGCAAAGGGGACCTGGATATGGACTCTGGCCACTAGGCTGTGTTACCCTGCCCAGAGTGACTTAGGGGTATGGACTCTCGCCACTAGGCTGTGTTACCCTGCCCAGAGTGACTTAGGGTGCGGACTTAGGCCCGAAACCCCTCCACCCTGAGTAAGGGGGCAGAGATATAGGCAGAGCCAGACATGGGATCTGGTGGATGGTCTTGTGGGAGGGCCCCCACCCTTACGGGGATTAGACCTGATGGGCATCCCGAGACAGGGCACAAGTTGACACAAAGGAAAAAATAAAGGCAGCAAACCTATTGCCTGCAAAACTGAAGGTAAAATACAGTAAAATAATTTGAAGCCTGGAGTTGTTCTGGGACACAAAAGCAGAAGAACTTGTGTTCATCAAAACAAAGCAAAACATATTGAAAGCGCAGAGACATGGGGCCTAATCTTCAGAAGTGGTAAGTACCCCAATATATCACTGAAGAATAGTATTACATATACTCTTAAGCCAAAGATCAGGGCCTTGAGATTTTCTACAAAAATATTGTGACAGATTCATAATGCATAACGAATGTGTGTACTGATGACCTTGTAGCAGCCCTATGGGTGTCTTGGATCAGGACGTGAGCCAGGAAAGCTGCTGAAGAGGCCTGTGCCCTAGGCCAATGGGCTCTCGCAATCAGTGGCAGAAGGACCCCCACTAGGTCATAAAAAGTGTGACTGCACAATGATACAGCTTGAAATCCAGTGTGTGGAGACAGGATGTCCTCTAATCCACTTAGTCACAGAGACAAACAGTTGGGTACATCTCCAGAAAGGGTTAGTCTAGTTCAGGTAAAAATCTAGGATCCTTCTCACATCTAAAGTGTGAAGGCAGATCTCCTCACTCAATAAGTGGAGCTTGAGACAGAGGATGAGCAGGAAGATGTCCCAATTTGTGTAAAAAACAGAAACCACCTTGGAAAGGAATGCTGGGTGTGGCCAGACTGACCTATGTCCTTGTGGAAGACCATATAGGGAGGTCAAGGCTTGAAGCTCAAAAACCTGTCCGGCCAATAATATAGCCACAAGGAGGGTCATTTTCCATTACACATGGGACCAGGAATATGTGGCCAAAAGCTCAAAGGGTGGCCCTACAAGCCTGACTATGAGCAAGTTAAGGTCCCACTGTGAACTGGAGGTCTGACTTGAGAGAATAGTCATTCCAGGCCCCTGAGAAACCTGGAAGAAGACTATGTTACCTTGGCCTGGGGAATGAAAAGGCAAAAATGGATGCCAGGTGCCCCTTGATCAAGGAGTATGCTAGACCTTGGATCTTCTGGTTGAACAGGTAATCCAGGATTAATTGGATTGATGCATCTATTGGGAAGATGCCACAATTGGCAGCTGAATGCGAGAACCTTGTCCACTTTGCCAGGTAGATCTGCTGCGTCAAATTCTTTCTGCTCTCAAGGAAGACTTGGCAGATGCTCTCCAAACAGGTCTGTTTCTCCAGGTTCAACCACACAGCATCCATGCTATGAGATAGAGAGCCTTGAGGCTGGGATGCAGGAGGTCACCATTGTCCTGGGACAAGAGCTCCTGGTTGGTCCAGCAGTAGCCATGGAGAGAGCACAACCAGGGTCCTGAACCAAATTTTGCCAGGGCCATGCAGGGATGATTATGACAACATAGGACTTTGTCCCTCTTGATTTTCTGCTGAATTTCGCTGATGAGCAAGACTGGAGGAAATGCAAACTGCAGATCCCTCATCGATGAGAAGAGGAAAGCACTGGATAGGGAATTTTCACCCAGGCTCCATCTGGAGTGTAACCGAGGACACCACCTGTTGTGTCTTCTTGCAAATAGATCCATTTGACAAGTGCCCCACTTCTGGAAGATCATGAGGGCTACCTCTGTGTGCTGCACCCACTTGTGGTGAGAAGTCTTGATTTAAGCAATCTGAAAGTGAGTTCTGGATGCCTGGAAGTGAAACACTTCTAAGGCAATGTCCTAACTGACACAGAAGTTCCACAACCTGAGGGTCTCCTGACAGAGGACTGAAACAGGCTACCTCTTGCCTGTTGATATAAAACAGTGTTTCTCAACCAGTGGTACCAGTACCCTCAGGGTACTCAAGAAAAGTCTGGGGGGTACATCAACATAACTGACATTTGATGAAAATTAAATTTTTGTTTTAAGTTTTACAGCACTTTATTATTTTCGTACTTTTTACAACCAAAAATTTCA